TGACATTACTCTCCTTTATAAAGGGACATATGATATTCCATGGAACAAAAATTTCATGTAGTAAAACCCCACCTGCTGGGAATTGAGGGTTATGCCATCAATACTTAGTAAAGGCACGAAGCACATCATACACCCTTCCCGAAATAATAATGAGCAGATTTCAAACTGTAGTATCAAAGACAAAACTCAGGCAAAGTGCTCTAACTGTGCCCACTGACTTCGTATTAACTCAAGTTTGTCTCACCTTTGCGAAAAATGGTCTATTAAAAATTGTGGACCATGGAAAAACATTTTATGCAAAAACTTAAGACTGGAATTCCTACTTTGAATGTAAAAAATGGAAATGCTTTACAAGAACAGGCACTCCATACTGCTACTGAGACAGGACCCCATTTGACTAGTTCCAAGGAAATGTTAAAGATATTAAAATAATTCTTTCCTCACCCTGCTATATCGTGTCTTCTGCGCTGGTGCAGTTTCTTCCCTTTGGGATATTACTTGGCTTCTCTTCATTTCTCACTGTCCTAGTTATCTTATGTGTAAGACAAAGCTAACAATACTAGCCATCCTGAAAAGTGGGCCTCAAGGAACTGTAGGTAAATATGATTGCAAAGCACTTCATCAATATTTAGGCTTTTAAAGCCCTCATTCGACAAGTTCACAAATTCTCTCTGTATCTGTCCCTATCTCACCAACTTCAGTTGGCAGAGCTGTTCTTATCAAAATTCTAATCTAGATGATTTACCTTTGTTACTTTGTCCATTCTCCTTCTGGAATGAGAAAGAAGTTCAGGAAAAACAGGCATTAAGGATATAGGATGTGACACTGTGTGGCCTCAGCATCATAAAAAAGAGAATTCTCAGGACAGTGGAGGCCAGTTCCAAATGCTGCTATAAAGAGCTAAGATAGTTAGTGACTTCTCAATACTTGGCTTGTCACTCCCAAATAAATCCTCTTCTCTCTGTCTCAATTATCACCGTAAGTCCAAGTCTCGTGCTATTTCAGCAGTTGCCTAACTGGCCTTCTCACCCCCTTCAAAAGGCCTTCCTTACTGCTACCAAAATGGCCTAACAATGTAAATCTGAATTAATACCTCTTAAGTCTGTAACTTTAATTCTAAAACTTTATCTCAAGGAAATTAAGATTGAGATGAAAGCGGCAAAGCTTAGTGGCTAAAACCACGGACTCTGGAGCCAGACTGCCTGGGTTCAAATCTCAACTCAGGTCTGGCTATAAGACCAAAGTCTAGTTACTTAACCTGTTTTTTCCTTCCTTAATTTATCGGATTATCTTAAGTAATATTTTCTTAATTTTGTTGGTAAAGCTTTATTTACATACTATATAATTCATCCATTTCAGTGGTTTTCAGTATATTCAGAGAGTTGTGCACCGATAACTATGATCAATTTTAGAACATTTTCATCATCCCTAAAAAGAAACCCTATACCCATTAGAGGAAGTCACTCCCATGTCCCCCATCCTCCCTGGCCCCTGGCAACCACTAATCTACTTTCTTTCTCTATAGATTCACCTCTTCCGGACAAAGTTCATCCATGTTGTAGCACGAATCAATACTTCATATTTCTTTTTATGGCTGAATATATATTTCATGGTATGGATATACCACATTTTGTTTATCCATTCACAAGCTGACAGGCATTTGGGTTGTTTGCACATTTTTGGCTCTGATAAATAATGCTGCTGCGAACACCCATGTACAAGTTGTTGTGTGGACATATGTTTTCATTTCTCTTGTGTATGTAGTTAGGAGTGGAATTGCTGGATCATGTTTAAACTGCTGAGTAACTTAACCTGTTTTTGAAGTCTATTTAAAGATATGGGGAAATGTTTCCTTCACTTGATAAAAATATACACAAACATATATATATCTATGTTTATTATAAACATTATATACTTTCGGGTGTATGTATGTATACGAATACATTTCTGTGCTTTCCAAATTTTTTATAAGGAATATAATCGATTTTATAATCAGGAAAAAACCCGATTTTTTTGTAAATACAACCATGCTATTCTGCTCCTTAAAATGCTATAAGGGCTCCTTACAGGACTTCACTCGAACTTTTCATTACCTGGCCCTGCCTAGACTCTGAATTTCTCTATATTGAGCCTTCTGCTCCAACAATGTTGAATTCTCTGTAGTCTCCCAAACACTAAGTGCCTTTGCATAGGCTGTTCCCTCTAACTGGCACCCTTACCCCTCACTCTGTCTGCCCTACAGACTCCCATTTTATTGTTCAAAACTCCAACCTAAGGGAATTACATCTTGGCCTTTTCTTGGTATCCCTAATTCCTACCACAATATTTAACTCATAGTAGAAGATTAATGTGTTGAACTGAATTTCAAATATTTCCACCTAACAAGGTAAATAAAGGGATATTGTTTATAGTTACCTGTTATATTTCAGTATATGCTTCAAAGCATGTGGAATAGGATAAAAGCTGACAAGTACTTGCAACTATAATACTAACAGTCATCAAGCACTCACTACGTGTCAGACTATTTTAAGCAACTTACATGTATTAAGTCAATCCTCACACTCTTCCTATGAAGTGAGTATTGTTGTTAACATACTAATATATTGTTAATATAACTTATATAATTTACTACACAAATCATTTCATTTAGATTCTGAACATATCGGCACTCATAAGTTTTAAGCTGGGAAATACTTTTTAAAGGAATATTAAAATAATTATAAGCCAAGGTGGAAAAGTCCGAATTTCACTGAAAACCATCATTTGTATATTGAATTCTATGAAGGAAAAAGAATTGTATATGCAAACTTTGTGGTATGTAGGTTATGGGAAGCATTTAAACAAAAGCCTAAAGGATATAAAAGCAGAGAGTAGAGCTTTAGTTTAGTCTA